TGATGGGCAGCCGTATTGGGAATATCACTTAATCTGTTAACATGTAGAGGTGTTCTAGTATGCACACTGATGGCTCCCCAAACCATCACGCTACCGCCACCCCACCTAAAGGCTTATCTCACACAACAGATTGCATAACGTTCACCACGACGCCCACATTAAGCACAGTTTGGACATTTTAACTATATATTGTATATGTACGTACTTATCCTATCTCATGTCTTGTATTCTTTCTTCAATTCGACCTGTTGAGTGGAAACGAACTACCTCCTTATAAGGATGCCCGGGGTTGCTCCTGGGAAGCATGCAGCACGCTCCACTGGTGCGTGGACGTAAACTCACCGTCAACAGTTTTTCTGAATTGCCCAATACATCAGTACACAATCCAAATGAAGCACAATACCTCAACGTCAAACTCAACGTCCTAATAGAGTGAGTGCTGACCCTGGCTGGGTTAGGGATGTCATTGCAGTTGGTGGAGGTTACATCCTATATTGACACTATGCTTGGTAATAGACCGATCCAGTCCCGGCCGATAAGCCCCGCCCACTTCGTTTTTGACGTTAGGGGGGACAACCACTGACAAATCACAATGGCGTCACCGCCGGCGAAACGTTACGTGATTGCGAACGTTGTTGATGAATTCTGCTTGTGATACTTTGGTATCCGTCGTTTGTGAATGTTATTTAAAGAGGCAAGTTATACGTATGTGATTTTTATTATATTATAGCTGGCAGATTGCAACTGGCGAGTGAAAATGAGTTACATGCCCGATAAAAAATCGTCTCGACTAGCTGCTGAGACTGTAGGAAGCGTAATTTCTTTCGAATCAATTAATCTATCTGGCAATTCACCTCTGTCACAGATATTAGCAGGGGAAGGGTAACTGAAATTTTGTTTTTTTTGAGTTTATAATTTTATAAAACTCGTGAACACAACCACATGTTCATGTTGCAGATCGTTTTGGTATCTATAAATAGATTATCAACACTGCGCGTGGCGCCTTTAGTTATCCGTTGGCGTTGTTCAAATTTAGTTCAATAATCTGAAAACATGGGTTTCTATCTTTTAATGAATTAAGAGAATGGTAAATAAAAAGCAGAAAATATTTCCCGTGTACTACTTCATGCACTTTATTTGTCTGTATATAATTTATGTAAACAAATCAATCACATTTGGAAATCTGGAAAAGTAATTGGGCTTGTAAACAGTATGTTTCCATGGATGTATCTAGATCTGGACATACCCAGAAGCAAATATTCAACAGCTGATCTGCAGCAATTCTCAGTAAAGTTTCTCTCTTCAAAATCTGTACACCATGATAAACTGACACTGAATATAAGGAAATCATTTTTTTAATCATTTCCATTTTACTTTTCTATATGTACTTTGTTGTTGAATCCTAATTTACATACAAACTTCCACAATACTGGACTTCATGAATTGCCAGCGTTTATGTACAGGTATGTCACAGTACCAGAACACAAAAAAGATCAAAGGTACAGTCTGCACCTGTACACTAGCTGAGCCATCTTCCAGAAATAGGAAAGATGTGATGCAAAATCTTGGAACAGAAGATCCACAGTTATCCGAACAATTAACTAGCATTAAAATAGAATGTTACACAAAATACAAATGTAGATCTATTGTTTTTTCATCAGAGACGTTTAACTGCTAACTACTAGTGTAAATAAGGTGCAAAGAATATATCCTATGTTCAAAGCTTTTGTCAATACAATTACATATTGACATTATTGCTTCTTAATTAAACAATGATAATCTTTGTTTTATTAGATCTGAGACCATATCCCTAGAGGACATAACACTGATTTTGATCTATTTCCTTTTCTGAGATACTTACTGGTGTCATAAAAATTATAGTAAAGTTGATTCAAAATTTGTTAAAAGTCATAACAAAGGTTTAGGCAAACAGACATGAAAATGTCCTGAAGCATTCACCTCCTACAAACCAGTGTGCAATTTAATATGAAGCTCATTTTTCAAATAACCATCAACAAACCTTGAACAATTTGTCAAAATCCATCATCTTAATAAACACTAACTTTGGCTCAGTCTTCAAATATTGATAACCTCCTAAAAAACTGATGATTTATCAGAAGAATTACATCAAATATGGGTTAAATATATGTTTCAATATTTATTCCGTTACATGAAAAGTCAACTGAGATTTTTGTAAGTTATTCTGTTCCAGGGCCTAGATTTTCGAAGCTCTCTTAGCGCTAAGATAGTCGTAAGTTAATGTTCATACATGGCACTTCCGACTATCTTAGCGCTAAGAGTGCTTCGAAAATCTAGGCCCTGCAGGACTGGATAATGCATGACCAGGGTTTGACCAAAACGTAGCCTTTGCTTTTTCAAATTCTCTGGATGTTGAAATAACTTTAATGAGTTATGATACTAGCAATCACTTTCAGAATTATATTATTAGTAAATGTAGTATTTAAAAAAACAGGTGAAAGCAGGAGCCAAGAAACTAAGTTAATACCAAGTGATTGTCCTGCCATGATATGTATGGTGTTTGTTTGCCTAGTTCTGCCTTAAAATCATAAGAATCTGATATGTCAATCAATTAAATAATTATTTATTATTGATTAGATTATTATTAATGTTATTACCCTTCCACGTTTACTAAAAAAAGCAAGATTCTTAAAACATACCTTGCTATCATTTCCAGTGAATTAATCAAAATTACAGTTCAAGATATAATTTTTATGGATTAAACTTCTTTTTAATTTCTCTCACACCGTTTGAGACCATTCAGGTCCCTTCATCAGGTGAACTGGCAGTACTGGCAGTTGGGACTATGACGTCGTCACTATCATAGTCCTAACTGCCAGTACTGCCAGTTCACCTGATGAAGGGACCTGGAATGGTCTCGAAACGTTGTGAGAGAAATTAAAAAGAAGTTTAATCCATAAAAATATATCTTGGACATCAATGTACAACTTCTAAATGCCACTGAAAGACAAAATTACAGTTGTAATATTACTCCTAAAATGTACCAATATATGTGAATAATTTATGTGGTAACAAAACTTCAAATAATGTTCTCATAATTAAGATATACACTTTATTTCACTCCGTCCAATACTCCAGAAAGTCGATCACTATTCTTCTCACATAGTTTTCGTATTCGATCAACATGGAGGAAGGTAATTCAATTCAAAGTCCCATGCAACTCTTTATAAAAAAGCTGAAATATTTAAAGCATGGTTTTATAGGCACTCATATGAATGAAGTTTGATACTTGGATATTGCATGATAGGCAACTGCTGACACTGACAATATTTCCGTTTGAATAAAAATATTACTCCTCGAATATTTTGCTCTGTTAACAAGATACTGTAGGCCTTCAGATTGTGCTTATGAAACTTAAAACATCCTAAAATGTGTGACAAATTGAAGAATATCTAAGAGCGAAGGGGACAATATCCGCCACATTGTTCTTTCATGTAACAAGTTTTGCTATTTCGGTTGACCGTAACCGAAAAGGAGATTTGTTTACATTGTATCACGGCTTTCTCGCCTGTCTCATTTGAGCTTTATGGCGTACCAACTCAATGCCTAGTAGTGACTAAACACGTTAAGCAAAAACAATTTTGTAGTTACGAGAATTGTCCGTGTTTATAACACTTGCAAAGTCTTAAACTGCTATTTGTTGTCATCAATTGGTAATGATTTTGCATATGTGCAAAAGTGTGGAAATTCGTGCAAATTCTCATCAGCAGGCAGACGTAGGTTTCCTGAACGATGGTGCAGACATTTAACTGATCGTTAGGCCTATCGCGTTTCTTGATCCGCCTCCATTTTTGTTGTCTTGACCGTAATGGTTTGTTAAAGGTACACATCAAGTCGCAGCAATGTGTAATAAATATAGCGAGTGTAAATGGCATAATTCGAAGCACATCGCTTCGGAGGCATCGTTTGACCCCGGAAATAAGTCCGACAAATCCACACAGCGCGCCCGGCCTGCTGATTGGCCAAATTTGACGCATGCGCCAGTTTTGATTGACAGACTGGATCGGTCCATTGACACATGGAATTTCCTGAGGATAGCAATGATTAATGACGACATATTGACACATATGCAGTGTTAAGACACCCTTTTCCATGTGTAAAAATTAAAGAGGAAAAAACACACGCTCAAGTTTTCAACTATTAAAATATGGATCGTCTCTTTCTTTGTGGAATCAAATTTAACTTATCAGCAGTGAAACGTCTTCTGAAAACATGTAGAGGTGTTCTAGAATGCACACTGATGACTCCCCAAACCATCACACTACCGCCACCCCACCTATAGACCTATCTCACACAACAGGTCGCATAACGTTCACTACAACGTCTCCACACACAAACTTGGTATGGAAACGGGTCTCATCTGTGCAGAGGACTCCTTGCCACTGTCCATCCACTGTCATATGCTTTTAGTTCTATTTGTAGGTGACATAGTTTTCTTGAATGGTCTTGAATCTCATCAGGTGAATGTTTAAAGGGAAGGAAGTAGCCCAGAAACGTCATGTTGTAAATAATAAAGAAGTTGTATATCCATACCATACTTTGCTATGTTACAATCGAACATCGAATATCACTTTGGAAAAAAAAACCATGATCAATCTTTAAAACATAAAATCCTGTGTTGACAGCTGGTACAATAACTGCTTCATAAATTCTTTCAGTGTAACAATACCATTTACAATTTTAAAAAACGAGTATCCAGTGCAATACAACAGTGACATACAAATCCTTATGCCACACTTCCATTTAATTGGCCAAACTACACTAACAACATGAGTTTTGCATTATGACTTTGAAAGGAATATCCTTGCTTCTTATCACATTGACAAGAAAAAATTCTGCTTTGGTCACTTTAATTCATAGATTTTGAGATACATGTGTATCATGAAAGATGTCTTTGAAGTACCACCCACTCGAATTTACAGATTTGCTTTTAGGAGGAACCAACGAAAAGATTAACATACCCTTGTCAAGAGTTACTTCTCTGTCCTGGAGCCAGATAAGCTTCTCCCTATTCTCAAGGACTTCCTGTGGAAAAGGTTACACACCCCGTATATGTTAAAACATACATAACATATTTGCAACAAACTGCCGCAGCAATGCGGTCATTGTATCTTGTGCAGATAAAGGAGTTTTGAGAAGAAGATATATCTGCACTTATCTTTTCTCAAAACATTGTCAAAACTCCTGTGTCTAAACCACGTGACTATATATGTAGATACACGCAAAGGGTCAGTTTCTTGAACATGTATAATATATGTGTTATTTAAAGAGCGAGTACGTTATATTTACGTCATGATATCTTATAAATTTGTGTAATCAACCCACCGATCTTAAAATTACAAAAAGGTCCTCCTGGTTTTCAATTCTGTCCCGGAGCTTCATCATCAGTGTTCGACGATCACCCTGCCGATCACCCTGCTCATCCTCTGCAACACAGTCACAATACACCTGAACAGTGTACAGTAAAGTGTACGTTGCCAACCTGACAATCAGCATTCCCTTACAGGAAAGTGTTTGTGTCACTGTTAGCATTAACAATGATAAGGACACCACGTATTGATGCGAAGAAGGCATGCATACCAACTGATAATCCCTTCTTTAACGGCTCAGCCGTGAGGGTCCATCTGAGAACGTTTGACTGAAAATAAAAATGTCAATGTTCAAAGTTAGTTGTTGTTGTTGTTAGACATAGACAAATAACCAGTTCAGTGACGTGATAGATGTTGATAATAGATGATTTATATACATATTGGTGTCAGTGATAAGAATTTCCAAGTTCCAAGACAGTAGGTTGAATTATTGTTTGCAGTTTGAACGTATTGAATGAAGAGGTACATCCAATACTTGAAAAATGATTGTGTTTGGAACACACACACACACGGCACTACAAACGGTCCGCAAACACAATGCTGCTCATATGTGTTTTTGTTTCCACTTAGCAGTTAACCAACATGAGAAGCGTAAAATTGATATATTGATATATATTCCTCAAGCTGCAGGGTAGCTGCAGTAAAACAGGAAAGGATTCTAAAGAACACGTGGTCAGAGAACATAGCTCAGAAATGTATGTCATATAAGCCTTATGGATGCCCAATATATTCAACAGAGAGACTTAAAGGCAAACTTGCAAGAAAAGAACTTACAGCATCAAGATTTTGCATCAAATCCAATAACTTCAGTGCATCTACTTCCCAGAACTGGTACTCCATCTGCCTTTTCCACTTATCTGAACAGAAATGATACACGTTAATTGCACACTATTTCCTTATGCATTCAACCCTAAATACAATGAAAAATGAACTTTACAAAATCAGATTTCAAGAATTAGGAACCTGTTTAAAAGTCATACCATTGTGCAGACCACTGAGTTGTTTCTCCATCTCGTGTACTTCCTGAAAGATAAACATAACCGATGCACCTTCACATTCCCTTCTACCCACATATACAGTATCAACACATCCGGATGTCGGTGCTTTGAACAGTTGAGTCCTATGGTTTAAGAATGGCACACTATGCGCTTGATAGTCACGGAACTACAAATTCAAAAGTCAAATTAATGAACTCTATCACGATCTCAAATACTCACAGTCAGAAACCATGCGTGCAACATGGAAAAATTACAATATATCTGAAAGAATTACCTTCTCTGAAGTCTGTAACCGCATCTTCAGTTCTTCCACACTGGCAGGATCTTTTTTGAAATAAAATTGTTTTGAATGGGATATATTGAACATGGTGAATACAGAATACATAATCTACTGAGAACGAAACAAGAAATGCAAACCCTATCTAACTGTAATATCACGGGTGGTTTTAACGTTTATTGATTGTCTTACATTATATTACTACTTCATATACACCCGTGAAGGGCCGGGTTAGAATACTGATCTTCAGTAACCCATGCCTGTCGTAAGAGGCGTCTAACGGGATCCCTGATTTGGTTGACACATGCCATCGGTTCCCAATTGCGCAGATCGATGCTCATGCTGTTGATCAGTGGATTGTCTGGTCCAGACTCGATTATTTACAGACCGCCGCCATATAGCTTGAATATTACTGACAGCGGCATAAAACTAAATTCACTCACTGACTCATAATATGTTACAACCATAGTTCTTTTGGTTGTATAATCTTATACACACTCCACACGTTTCTTTGCAGGCTTACTGTTTACGCTTCTTCACCTGCATTGTTTGTGTTTACATTTCACTCGTTATATCACGAATTGAGGACAACATGTTGGTGAGACAGGAAGATCAAGTCCGAGGTTATTTCCAAAGAGGATGAAGCCAGGATCTTGACCTATGTTCAGAAGACTGGGAAATACACCATCTACTCCGTACCCACTGTCCTGGGTGGGTGTGTAATTGGACGTGTAATCTATCTCATCAGGGAAAGAGTTACGTTCACAACACTTCAGCGTTCCAAAGAAGATCCCACAGTGAGAGGATTACTTCAGGACTGGGACAAGTCGTTTCTCATGGACAGGATCTTGTTCAGGCGAATAAACAACGCCGAAGGTATTGAACATCAGCAACTTCTACCAAGGAACATGATACAGGAAATACTTCAGTCTCTCCATGGCACCACTCAGAGATGCGACAAAACTCTCCATAAAGGGTCAGTTTCTTGAACATGTATAATATATGTGTTATTTAAAGAGCGAGTACGTTATATTTACGTCATGATATCTTATAAATTTGTGTAATCAACCCACCGATCTTAAAATTACAAAAAGGTCCTCCTGGTTTTCAATTCTGTCCCGGAGCTTCATCATCAGTGTTCGACGATCACCCTGCCGATCACCCTGCTCATCCTCTGCAACACAGTCACAATACACCTGAACAGTGTACAGTAAAGTGTACGTTGCCAACCTGACAATCAGCATTCCCTTACAGGAAAGTGTTTGTGTCACTGTTAGCATTAACAATGATAAGGACACCACGTATTGATGCGAAGAAGGCATGCATACCAACTGATAATCCTTCTTTAACGGCTCAGCCGTGAGGGTCCATCTGAGAACGTTTGACTGAAAATAAAAATGTCAATGTTCAAAGTTAGTTGTTGTTGTTGTTAGACATAGACAAATAACCAGTTCAGTGACGTGATAGATGTTGATAATAGATGATTTATATACATATTGGTGTCAGTGATAAGAATTTCCAAAGTTCCAAGACAGTAGGTTGAATTATTGTTTGCAGTTTGAACGTATTGAATGAAGAGGTACATCAATACTTGAAAATGATTGTGTTTGGAACACACACACACACACGGCACTACAAACGGTCCGCAAACACAATGCTGCTCATATGTGTTTTTTGTTTCCACTTAGCAGTTAACCAACATGAGAAGCGTAAAATTGATATATTGATATATATTCCTCAAGCTGCTGCAGAATTGCAGTAAAACAGGAAAGGATTCTAAAGAACACGTGGTCAGAGAACATAGCTCAGAAATGTATGTCATATAAGCCTTATGGATGCCCAATATATATTCAACAGAGAGACTTAAAGGCAAACTTGCAAGAAAAGAACTTACAGCATCAAGATTTTGCATCAAATCAATAACTTCAGTGCATCTACTTCCCAGAACTGGTACTCCATCTGCCTTTTCCACTTATCTGAACAGAAATGATACACGTTAATTGCACACTATTTCCTTTATGCATTCAACCCTAAATACAATGAAAAATGAACTTTACAAAATCAGATTTCAAAATTAGGAACCTGTTTAAAAGTCATACCATTGTGCAGACCACTGAGTTGTTTCTCCATCTCGTGTACTTCCTGAAAGATAAACATAACCGATGCACCTTCACATTCCCTTCTTACCCACATATACAGTATCAACACATCCGGATGTCGGTGCTTTGAACAGTTGAGTCCTATGGTTTAAGAATGGCACACTATGCGCTTGATAGTCACGGAACTACAAATTCAAAAGTCAAATTAATGAACTCTATCACGATCTCAAATACTCACAGTCAGAAACCATGCGTGCAACATGGAAAATTACAATATATCTGAATTACCTTCTCTGAAGTCTGTAACCGCATCTTCAGTTCTTCCACACTGGCAGGATCTTTTTTGAAATAAAATTGTTTTGAATGGGATATATTGAACATGGTGAATACAGAATACATAATCTACTGAGAACGAAACAAGAAATGCAAACCCTATCTAACTGTAATATCACGGGTGGTTTTAACGTTTATTGATTGTCTTACATTATATTACTACTTCATATACACCCGTGAAGGGCCGGGTTAGAATACTGATCTTCAGTAACCCATGCCTGTCGTAAGAGGCGTCTAACGGGATCCCTGATTTGGTTGACACATGCCATCGGTTCCCAATTGCGCAGATCGATGCTCATGCTGTTGATCAGTGGATTGTCTGTCCAGACTAGATTATTTACAGACCGCCGCCATAGAGCTTGAATATTACTGACAGCGGCATAAAACTAAATTCACTCACTGACTCATAATATGTTACAACCATAGTTACTCTACCGGGTCTACTTTTGGTTGTATAATCTTATACACACTCCACACGTTTCTTTGCAGGCTTACTGTTTACGCTTCTTCACCTGCATTGTTTGTGTTTACATTTCACTCGTTATATCACGAATTGAGGACAACATGTTGGTGAGACAGGAAGATCAAGTCCGAGGTTATTTCCAAAGAGGATGAAGCCAGGATCTTGACCTATGTTCAGAAGACTGGGAAATACACCATCTACTCCGTACCCACTGTCCTGGGTGGGTGTGTAATTGGACGTGTAATCTATCTCATCAGGGAAAGAGTTACGTTCACAACACTTCAGCGTTCCAAAGAAGATCCCACAGTGAGAGGATTACTTCAGGACTGGGACAAGTCGTTTCTCATGGACAGGATCTTGTTCAGGCGAATAAACAACGCCGAAGGTATTGAACATCAGCAACTTCTACCAAGGAACATGATACAGGAAATACTTCAGTCTCTCCATGGCACCACTCAGAGATGCGACAAAACTCTCCATCTTGTGAGATCAAGGTTCTTTTGGTCTGGAATGTCTGAGGATGTAGAGAAGAACGTCCAGAGACTGTGAGAATTGTGTCTGACGCAAATCCAAGACCTCTGTGAAAGCTGCATCACTTGTAAGCATCCACACTTCACAGCCCGTGGACTATCTCAAGCTCAAGGAATCCAAAAGGAGGCTACAAAATATCCTTGTACTCACAAATAATTTTACTCACTACGCCATCGCCAACTCGCAACCAATCAACTAAGACCACAGTGAGAGTACTGTTCAACAACTTTCTGGTACAGTATGGATTGCTGGCTAAACTCCACAGTGACCAAGGAAGGAACATCGAGGGCAACATTATCAGAGTACTCTGCCAACTTACTGGGATAAAGAAGACAAGAACGACGCCATATCACCCTCAAGGTGATGGGATGACGGAAAATTTCAACCAGACTGATAAATATGTTGGGTACCCTGGATGAAGAGAAGAAGAGTGACTGGAAACCTTCCGTACCTGCTCTCGTCCATCCCTACAATAGCACGGGACACAAGAGCACAGGATTTACTCCCTCCTACCTCATGTTTGGAACACACCCTCGACTCACAGCGGACGCCTTTCTTGGATTCAACCTTGTACAAGGCCAAACTAATTGTATGCTAACACCCTCAAGAAGCGGCTACAGTTTGCGTACAACATAGCTTCTTGAGGTTGTTAGCGTACTGAGTGGAGAAAAGATGTCTATGATGTTGTAAAACAACTCATCAAGGACATTCCTGTCTACACTTTGAAGCAAGAAAGTGGTCAGGGGCCAGTGAAGACTCTCCACCGCAACATGCTCCGACCACTGGAATCTGCCCCCAACAAGACACGCCCAGGCAGAATGACACTAATCTAGGAGAAGCAGGAAATCCTTTTCACCTCGGGTGAAGAAGTTTCAAGCATCAGACAGATCCAAAGAAGACAGTCGGGAAGAAGAGGACGTCATACTGCTGCCCAGACTGAGGAGTCGAGCAAGAGCCACGGATTTGATTCCAAGTGCTGCTATTTCTATTCCGCTGCCAGCCAGTAAGGGATTACACAGCTAGCAAATGACACAGCTGCTTCAACTGTCAGCGCTTCAGTTCTGGAAAGATCGACTTCAATGTCGCCCTTAACTACTCCTGTGGAACTAGCAGATGTGACAGTCTCTCCTGTCTTCAGCATTCAACGTGCATCACCTGCCCAGATGGACACTCTGCAATCGGGGTGGTCTACCTGACTCAAAGCCCATCCAGTCTGAATGTAGAGTCATCAGTGGGTGACAAACTTCGGGGTAGTCATCTGTGAAAAATCGGAACAGGAAGAAGTTTTTGTTTGAAGTTCTTTTACATAATTTATTTTTATTTGGGGTTCGTTTATTATGGTTTGGGTCCATTTCTTTTAATGATTTCCTGAACATTGAAACCTTACAAGCTTTCATTGGAGTTCCAGGTCTTTTTCTTGTTAAGTAGTAGTAGATGGGGGAGTTCTGACGCAGATGCGGCTTAGAGGCTTATTTTTATGAAATAAGGCCCCCAGTCCCCATTAAAAATGGTGAGGGCCTATCGAGAGCCATCCTTCGACGTGCCGCCTACCTAGACCCAAAGTTCCGAGCACTAACTGATCGGCAGTCCCGGTGGTGTGATGGTAGAGCATATGGCTTGTAATCCAGTGGTGTGAGTTCGAGCCGGGGGGGAATCGGTGGAAACTTTTGCGAGTTAAACAAGGACCATATTAGGGTTGTTGGCTCGTTTAGCGAAAAGGATGTTTGAAACCAGTTTTAAATCCGGTCACTATTAATTGTTTCAAGGGAAGGAGTCTATAGCTAAAAACATTGTTAGAAGCCACAATCAATTATTTTAAAAAAGAGTATGAGTTATATAGCTTATATACAGCCAGTCTGCTCTCGCCTGGCTGCTCTCAGGTCTGGTTGACCTAGAGCACGTTGCTATAGCAATGTCTAAACAGTAGGTGTTGCCTGGCTGATCTCGCCTGACTGCCTAGGGTCGGGTTGACCTATAGCACTTAGCTATAACAGTTTAATGTGGGTTTCATGAACAGTTTGTGTTGCAAGGTTTACTTGGCTATGTTTACATCAACAAAACAGTTTAAGGTGAATGTTTGATGAGATCCTTGTTTATTGTCGGGAAGGTTTGAATGATTTTGTATCATCTTTGCTGATGTCAGCGGTTTGCCGAGTCTTGGGTAGAATCTCTTCTTTCATTTGCCGGTATTTTGCGATTTCCGACATCACCAAATGAAACTCTTCGTTGATCATGTTTAACTTGGCTTTGGCCAGAACCCTGATCTCCCCATGCTTCAGCGCTTTACATTGCAGACGACGTGAAATGAAATTAAGGGCTATACCCATCACCCCCGATACTCCGGCGGTTATTTCTAACCCAAGGATGACAGGTGCTGCCACGATGGTGGATAATAAGCGGACGCCTGCTACGCCAAATCACTAGAGATGTGTCCACACCATCGATGGCATTGATGGCTGGATGGTATTTTTGGTTGAATCTGAATCACACGCCGGGTTTTCGTTCCAATTGGTGTTTAATTTTGCTGATCTGTCGCAAACGAAACCCATCCACGGTTTCGAGTGTTTGAGCCACTTCGTCCATGGCAGGATACAATCCCATCTCGAGTATATTATAAGTAGGAAATAAGCTTCAATTGATCCGCCGACAATCGTCAATGAATGTACTTTAAGCTGACGGATAAATGAATGTAGTCGAGTAAAATGAGAGGCTCTAGGAAACCATGACCCCCTTGAGGCTTGTGGTGGGGGCTCTTCCTGGTTGTATATAAACACAACAACGTTTATAATGATGGCGATCATACCAGCGTATTTTTAACCCATTTAGAATTGGTATATCTTTTCGGGGGTCATCTCTTAGAAAAACTTCAATAATAAGTGTAGAACCTTGTATCACTTTGATCCACGTTTCTGGGATTTCATAATTATGATTTTTTTCAATCGCATCAGTATATCAGGGCGGGTGACTAACATATTATCCGTTTGATCTAGTAACGTTGATATGTACACCATCTTTTCGTTGAATGGAATAAAACCATCCAGTAGAGCCCCATTATGTTTCAGTTCGATGACATCACTATCCTCATCCATGACGAGATAGGGGTAGGTCAGGACGATATGGATGATCCAGTTCAATTCGAAGATCACTTCTTGTCATTGGTACGTGTTCTTTTGGAAGTGCAATACGTACAAGGCGTTGTCCGTAATGGTTTGGTCGAATCTTTGCGTGTCCCCGAGATCGGAGAACGCGATGGTGGCGATTTGATTTGGGTTTTAACCATCACCCATGGTTATGCTCGTATTATGGAAGAGTCTTCAATTGATTCTCAGACAATTTCTCATGCATAAACTTTTAGCTGATGAGATGGATTTTTGGATGTAGAAAAATCTTTGTGAGCGCAATTTTATCCTCCAAGTTAATCATGACTCCTTCGAGACTCGCGTAAGATTGACGGTTTTCTGTATATAAATCAAGCAAACGTGATTTTGATGTTTTTGAGGCAAATGGAGGTTTACTCCCGTTATAATTTCAACATCTCGGTCGGGTGATGCCTCCCCAAGAAAGACTTCGATATAAAGCGTAGAATTGTTTGGAATCCCTTGTGTGAAATCGGTCGTGTCTTGAATTCAAGCACCAAATGTAAACAAGTATTTCGACTATCCGGTCGATTCGCTAGCAAATGACCTGCTATATTTGAGATGAGGCTTATGATCACACTCCTTCATTGCGAAGGGACGTAAGCCACGATGAGAATCCCCTTATTGAGGACGTTCGTTAAATAGTGATCCCTCGACTCCACAAACATGTAGGGAGAAACGAGTAGGGAGTAGCCAGTCGATTTGGGAGGAGATCAACGTCCATTGGTTATCATTGGTTAGGACGAACTGGAACGTCTTTTTTAAGAGCCCCCGTGTCTCGACATAGTCTAAATCGCCTGATTGCCATCGAATGCCGGGACCATTTGTTATTGTCATTGAGGACGTGATTGTACTGGGTGTTTTTCAAAAGCCC